ATCTCCCCGCCGGCCCATGGAGGCTTAGAGCAGAGCTGACACTCAAATAGCGCCAGCTCTGCATGAGCCAACAGGGGAGATCCGGAGATCTCCCCTGCCGGCAGGGGTCAAGTCCTGGGGAATAAAGTGTGGGAACTCTCCCAAGATTCCCACCCCCCAAATAAAATTATATACACTTGTGTGTGTGTGTGTGTGTGTGTGTGTATATATATATATATATATATACACATACACAAGCATACACTCACACACACATACTCAGACACACACACATATATTCACAGACACACATACACACACACACTTACAGACACATACACTCACAGGCACACACACATACATTCACAGACACACACTTACAGACACACTTACAGGCACACACACATACATTCACAGACACACATACACTCACAGGCGCACACACATACACACAGACACACACATACATTCACAGACATACACACACACACATACATTCACAGACACACACTCACAGACACATACATTCAGACACACACACTCACAGACACACATACTGTAACAAACCACCTCTTTTACAGGTAGGATTGTCACAGATCTTGCAGTAACCACAGCCTTCTAGGGTATACAAAGTCCAGGACACATTCAGCTCGGTTTTCCTTTTTATTCAGTAAGAAAACAGGTGCTTTAAATAATAACAAAAACAAACAAAATCCCTTGCTCTTACTTGAGCTCTTACTAGACAGTAATTGCTATCTGCAATTGGGTGGCTTTCCCACTTACCAATTTTCCAAACAAAAGAAATGTCTTTGCAATAAACACAATCTCTCCTAGCTGTCTTTTTCTCCCTCACTCTGCAGCAGGCTGCCCTCTTCTTTTAAAGGCCTGTCTGCTAATTGACTAGCCACAGGTGAGTGCCAATTAGTTAACTCCTAAGTCAGACCTAAAGTGTGGTCTGTTACACAGCAACTAGTGCTGTTGGAGCATTGGCCCACCCAGCTCTCCAAATACTCCGCCCCAGGGACCCATACCATGTTTTGCAGAACCTTAGCAATGTAGATTGCAAACTCTAACATCTCTCCCTGGGGCATTTAACTGAAAATTCTCAGGTTGCTGTTTAACAAATCAGGCCTGATGTATCTTCCATCAAGCACAATTCCACTTTTATGCTCACAATACACACACACTTACAGACACATACACTCACAGACACACACACATACATTCACAGACACACACACTTACAGACACACACATACATTCACAGACACACACACACTTACAGAAACACTTACAGGCACACACACATACATTCACATACACACATACACTCACAGGTGCACACACAGACACACATACACTCACAGGTGCACACACAGACACACATACACTCACAGGTGCACACACATACATTCAGACACACACACACACTTACAGACACAAACTCACAGACACACATACATTCACACATACATTCACAGACACACACACACACTTACAGACACACACACATACATTCACAGACACACACACGGACACACACATACATTCACAGACACACACACGGACACACACATACATTCACAGACACACACTCACAGACACACACATACACAAATACACACATTCACAAATTATTATTTTTAATTAAAAATTGTCCACCCAGCCTCCCTACCTGGAGAGCTGGCGTGGACTTGTCCCTGGGGTCCAGTGGGTCGGGCGCCTGTCTCCATACAACAAGCGGCAAGGGAGCTGTGTGCTCTCTGCTTCCTCTCGCCGCGCGGGCTGTCTGCTGTTTGCATTTGCGTGCAGGGGTGTGTTTGTATGTAATGTTTGCATTTGTGTGCAGTTGGTACATGTATATAATGTTAGCATTTTGATACAGGGGTGTGTTTGTATGTAATGTTTGCATTTGGTGCAGGGGTGTGTTTGTATGTAATGTTTGCATTTGCATGCAGGGGTGTGTTTGTATATAATGTTAGCATTTTGATACAGGGGTGTGTTTGTATATCATGTTTGCATTTGTGTGCAGGGTTGTGTTTGTATATAATGTTTGCATTTGCGTGCAGGGGTCTGTTTGTATGTAATGTTTGCATGCAGGGGTGTGTTTGTATGTAATGTTTGCATTTGCATGCAGGGGTGTGTTTGTATGTAATGTTTGCATTTGCGTGCAGGGGTGTGCTTGGATGTAGTGCTAGCTTTTAAATGTGGATGTATATTTGTGTGTAGTATTGAGTGAAGGGTGTGTTTGAGTGTTTGTATATAAATTTGAAATTTGAATCCAGGGGTTTTTACGTAATGTTTGTGTTGGCAGAAGTGTGTTTGCATGTTGTGTTGGTGTTTGATTGCCGGGATGTATGCACATATGATTGCTGTACGCTTGCCACGTACATAAATACACAAACAAATTAACACACAGATACACATATAAACACATTGACACATACACATACATTCTACAAAACCCCTCTCTTGCCCGCCATTCTAGACATCCTTGTAGACAAATCCACAAATCCCCTGCTCAGCCCCCTTAAACAAAAGTGGAGTCATATAATTCCCCCTTCCATAAAACTCCTGCACCCCCCCTTTCCAAAAAAACCTGCCTCTCCACCTAAAGCCCCTGCTCAGCCCCTTACAATAGAATTCATTTTTTTACATAACAATATTAGCACAGTCTTCAAAGTCCAGTCCCAAACACACACAGTGACAGGCAGACAGTTACACACACAGTTACAGACTGTTACACACACACACACACACACACACAGTTACAGGCAGACAGTCAGGCACACACACACACAGTTACAGGCAGACAGTCTCACAGACACACACACAGTTACAGACAGTCACACACACAGTTACAGTCAGTCACACACACACACACACACTTACAGGCAGACAGTCTCACAGACACACACACATACACAGTTAGTTAGTCACACACAGTTACAGTCAGTCACGCACAAACAGCTACAGACAGTCACGCACACACACACTCTCTCTTATAGTCAGCTTGGGCTGGAGGAGGAGTGGATTCAGTCCCTGCTGTGCAGTTGTTGGGGAAGCAGGGACTCCATCCTGCTTCCCCTCGATGTGCAGCACTAACAGCAGCGGGTGGTGGCCGTGTTTAGTTCTGCTCCTGCTGCAAGTTAGCCCCGCCCCGTTTGTTTTAGTTCGGCGGCTGCCTGTCCCTGCGTGTGTAAGCTGTGCGGCTGCCATGGCAACCTGTCCCTGCCACACAGCTCACACATCCTAAGGCCACCCTGGTCATGGCACCCCCCTAGTGTGTGGCATCCATATGACTACATATTCTGGGAGAGCACCACGGCACCCCTGGCACCATAACCACTACATCGAGCTGTAGCAATAGATGGCTTTTTTTTAATGATGAAATTGATGAGTGCATGGTTAAGAGAAGAAGGGAAGACTCCAGTAGATAAAGAGAGGCTGAAAATACGTGTTGGGTACAGGAGTGAACTATGGGAAAGACATTGGATCAAGTGATATGGGATTAAATAGGTGATGGGATAGAGACCACCTTCAGAGAGGGCTGAAAGTAGAGAGCGTGGAGACTGGAGAGAGCAAGAGAAGTGAAGATCTGATAGGACAAAATTAACTGGATTTAGGAGGAACCTTTTAAATTCATGAATACTATTCTGTTAATACATTGCCATATAATTCTCACATGAATGTGGAGTTTAAACATACACTGCCCACAATGTCTCTGTTCATTGTACCTGCTTAGAATTTGTTTTTGATGTGAGAGGTGAAAACCCCAGAGTTCTGAAACTGGGCCTCCACATTAGATAAATAAAAATCCCAGCCCGTATCAAGGTATTAGGATGTTAAACTTGTCAGAACTACTGAGCCACTGTGTAAAAATGTCATCACACTGGTTAACACTGGAAAAACGTGATGTGAGATGAACTTCTGAGTTTAGTAGTGGAGTCATGTTCAGAACCTATTCAGCAACTGTCTGAGGATTCGGTGTTAGCCATAAAACAATGTCATTTCATTGGCATTGACAACTCTGTTCCCCTACCGGTGGCTACACGTCTCATGAATGCCAATAACAGACATGTATCTTCAAGTATAGACTCTAGTAGAGAATAAAAGTTTGGCAATCAGAATACAGCAGTTGATTTGGTATTACATACATCACATTGATTTAGCAGATATTCTGTGTGACTGGGGAGAGGGTGGCAGAAAGTTATTCAAGGTCATTTTATTTATATATACACACACATTAGTTATAATCAACAAATAGTTCTAAAGGAGAGTTTTGCATTTTTATAAATTCTTTATTTTTGCAGTGCAGGATTATGTATACAATTTTAGGTAAACATTGTAAAGGATAAAACAATATAAAGCAATGGCGTGACATACAATATCAGGAAAAAGTGCCCAGTTTTTTATATTTATACATGACATGGTGGATCAGTATGTGTCAAATGATTTTCAGATTAGCTAGTTACAACATTAGAACAATTAATGATATGGTGTCCACCAGCATTTTTTAATCCTAAGATTTAGTCAGGCTAAGTAACTGGTGGAGTGTAAAGGTTAAGTGAAACAAGAAGTATGCATGCTGACTAGGTCAGGATATAGTTACATGCTGGTTGCAATAGCAAGAGTTGTGGTTACTAGCGCTTTATTAGTTGACCAGACTGGCTACAATGCAAGCGTGCTTGTTTCTTAATTTAACATAAAGTAACATCGCTTTAAAGATCAGAAGATTAGTGAGAGTGACTGTCATAGGGTTAGTAGCTTACGATGCCATACATCGGATGGGGACAAGGTGTGAGAACCCCTGGGCACATTCTGTCATTGCGGCACCAGTTATAGAAGGGTAACATAGAGAAGATTAATACAGGATAAATGGTCGGCCAGCAGTGTTCACTTAATGCACTTAGTCTCTGCATTGGACAGTCATAGTTACATGGTGTAGGTAGTCCGTGTGTCGACGGCTGTGAATGTGCCCTCCAGGTGCGTTTGTGGCATGTTCACCCGAGTCAGGTCCTTCAGCCAATGCCCAGTGCATGGACGTGTCTCCTGTCGTCAGTGTTGGTCTCCCGGAAGGTGTCCCAGCACTGGGGCTCCGCTCCGGCAGTATTTAGCAGAGTGTTCAACTGGTTTGCAGCTGTGACTTGGAGGGGTGGAGGTGAGTCCCGCTGGGCATCGGTTCCCGGAGCTGGTGAGTAGCTTGTGTGGGAGGTTGGCTTTGCAGTCTTGTTCTCTTGAGTGTGGGGGCCATCGTAATATGGCGTAGTTTCCCGCCCTTGAGCTCGACGGTGTTTGTGGGGTCTGGTTGTCTTTCTGGGTGCTTGTAGTGGATGCTGGCGCTGCCTCGTTACTGGACGGATCCATGTGGCCACTAGTTTCACTGCCAGGCGGTAAGCCATTCCGCCCTCGCTCAGCATAGACCGGAGGTCGAAGTCCCCCAGGGGGTTCGTGGTTGGTTGGGCTTGTGTGCTTCGTTTTTGGGGCCTTCACTTGGCAGCCATCTTAGCTGCTTCTCAGTGACCCGATGATTGCTGGTGCTGTGCCTGCTGTGTAGGACAGTCACCTCTGTGTTTTAGTCGTTGCGTCTCAGGCTTTTGTTGCCGTGATATCCCTCTCCGACAGGGGGGGGGGGAGGAAGTATGCTGAGGAGACCTCCAGGTGAGTGGCTGCAGTATCTCGCTTTGGCTGAGTAGGCCCCTGGTAGGGATGCTTGGCTCTTGGCTCTGCAATGTTAGGTCTCTCTTTTCCAGGTAGCCTAACCATCGATTTTGTGGGTTTTAGCCGTGATTTTGGCCATTTGAGAGCGTTTTTACACGGAGCTCGTCTCCACTGCGACCTCTCGGCATGGCCGCTTAGCTCTGCCCCAGAGTTTTGCATTTTAACATTTCCCTGGTTCTAAGTTTGTGCTAGATAATTAGTAGTGAATGTTTCAGAATTCGTTTTTTTTTTTTTCTTGGCTCAGGTCCTGCTGGCTGATAAACTAAATTTAGCGCAATAGTACAGGTGTGCCTCGCTTTACTATTTACATATCTGTATTATTTGGCGGTATTTTCTTGCTTACATCAGTGAAGCGCAGAATGACTGCTAAGTCGAGCACGTTGTGGCCTAGAACTATTGAACGTTTAATATACTTACGTGATGTGGTGTAAGCATGTTTTAAGGATGCAGAAAGTATTCGTATATGATAAAGATTCTGTGATTTGCTTTACCGTGATATACGCTTTATGGCAGTGGTCCCAAACCTGACATATTACCAAGATATACCTGTACTGGATAATGTAGGCTAGTCTAATAGTATAAATTCTATAAACTGAACAAGCCGTACAATCTGAGATGGATTTACACGTTGCTCCACATGTAGCAGTATGCCGTACCTCTAGCTAATCCTTAGGCTGGCTGAGTATTATGTGAAATGTAGGTTATAATAAACTGTGATGTCATAGTTAGCAATCAATACTTCATGTAATACAGCAATGTCTACGGTATTCCCATAGTGCATCATTAGCCAAAGGCTGCTTTAATAGGAGATGATTTGCCATGTCTTCAAAGGGTGCACACAGGTTACTAATTTATGTGCATGGCTTATACAGAAATCCAGTCAAATTAGTCGACTTGTTTAACAGTTTCAGCATTACTGTTGACAGGCGTCTTTTCTGCCAGTGAGTAACATGGCTTTTATGACTTTGATGTTGGGAGCACCTTGAGACATGCTTTCATTCCAATCACCAGCATCACGATAGCAGAAAGTCTCCTCCTTCATTCTAGAACAGCAGTTACATGAGCTTCTCTTCCAATGAGTGGAACATTTACTAGATCATATCTCTTCACCATTGAAAGCTGTATCGCCCAGTTTAGGAATGCTGTATAGGCGATATGGTCATTTTTACCCCCAGCCATGTTCCTTATTTTAGGAGGTGTTCAGATTTCAGATGCTGGAGGTGTGAAATATTATTAGAGAGAACACAAACACAGGACAAAAAAAAACAAAACAGTGAAGTACAACAATAAAAAGACAACAGACAAATCAATAATCAACTATGTGACCAAGGATGGAAAATACACTCAAAACCAAAACCAGTGTAATGCCAGTTGATTTAAAAAAAAGAAAACCAAAGACCAAACTCATATCTGGCACCATTACACCACTTATAGCCCTGGTAACATATCGGTGCTTTTTGTGATTAATATGTGAAGAAATAAATGAAAGGAAAACTGTGTAACACTTTTTGTCTTACTATTTTATTGTGCAGTGATACAATGGCACATTTTGGCATAACAGTAAAGGACAGATAATAGCTATCTGGGTAATGAAGGTGGATTAAAGAAGCACTACAGGATCAGGAACAAAACATGTATTCCTGACCCTATATTGTTAAAACCGTCATCTAGCTCCCCTATGCCCCCTTGTCTCCCTAAATATAGAAAAATCTTACTTAAATTCAAGTGTGAAGCTGCTGCCTCTGACATCATTAGAAGTGGTGGTCTCAGCCAATCAGAATGCTTTCCCATAGGAATGGCTGATACTGTCAAGGAGGCAGATCAGGGGCAGAGCCAGCACAAGTCAAACACAGCCCTGGCCACTCAGCATCTCCTCATAGAGATTAATTGAATTAATGCATCTCTATGAGGAAGGTTCCGTGTCTGCATGCAGAGGGTGGAGACAATGAATGGCAGTGCTGCATACTAAGCAGCACTGCCCCAGGAAGGATCTGTAACAGCTATCTGAGGAGTGACCAGTGAAGTTATCACGAGGCTGTAATGTAAACACTGCATTTTCTCTGAAAAGACAGTGTTCACAGCAAAAAGCCTGAAGGTAATGATTCTACTCACCAGAACAAATGCAATAAGCTGTAGTTGTTCTAGTGACTATAGTGTCCCTTGAAGGCGTGGCATTGAGAGCAAGAGACATATTCGGCAGCAGAACAAACGTATCATAAAGTGGCCGCACATTTTAAAGACTAAAGTAATGGGCTTAGAAGTACATGCTGAAACAGGCTGCACATTGTTAATAATAATATAAGAAAACATAAAATAAGAGGCCTAGCTGAACACCCGGCTGGTGAGTGCAGTAGAGGTCTCCTCATCCCACACCTGTTCGTGAGGGACTGATATGAGGAATTCGGAGTATTTATCCCGAAATCGATCTGCTTGTGGATGCTTTATATCAGGATCAGGGCAGGAGCAGGGGAGACGGCATACATCAGTGCTCTCTCTCTGTGAAACCTTTGCCCCAAATATCAAATCAAATGCCCAAAGGCTTTCCGCAAGGATCCTCTGAGATTTCTCACCCCCTCTAACACTGGTGTATAACACGTAGCAGCCATTTTAGGTGACCTGTGATGGGAACTAGGTCTCATAGGATTTGTGGGGCAGACTGAATGGCCTTGGCAGACTCCGGAACACACTGGTACCACAAAACAACGAAATCTCCAGGTAAGTGCGTGAAATTCACCAAATTATTTCTTATTATTGCTGTGCGGCTCTCACCATCTGTGTCTGCTCAGTATGGTTGCCAGACCCCGATCCCCGTGTAATACTGGTTTTAGTCACCATTTATAGGTTAAAAAAAATATGGAGTCTGGTTCGTTAGAACGTTTTGTTTGTGTGTTGGAAAATATATTAGTCTAGTGCTGCAGATTAGGAGTCTCTCAATAAGAATAGTTTACAGCTAATTTTTTCCCAGGAATTCTTGGTATATTTGGTTTCTTGTTCCATTGTATTTAAAAGCATCACATGTTAATATTGTGCAATCACTGTGAGCCTATTTCTATCTGATTACAAGGGCTTAACTCAAATAAACATATGGTCTAGAGAAAGTGGAGTATATGAACAGAAGATTAAGATCAATATATCCAGAATTAAAGAAAAAATACCAGGTGTGAAATCTAACGCGATCTGAACAAACATGAAATAATATACAACAGACACATAGGCTGCTGGTATGAAACATCTACTGGCAGCACATGGCAGAATCAGAATATTCGTTACAAGAAAATTGTAGCAGTTGTGGGACATTCGGAGTGATTGTAAAATGCGTTGGGAGAAGATTTCTTTCTAAGGATTTGTTGTAACGGATACAGAAAAACAAAAAACATAAACGATAAGGACCTAAAATATGGAGTAATTAAAATAATATGTATGTGTTGTTGATCAGGGAGGATTCTGGATGTAATAGAAACTATGACTAGACGGAATTATGGAAGCGTGTACAGGTGGGGCGTTTACGACACTAAAGATGACAGTGACAATTAGGATGCAGACATATTAGGGTATTTGTTTGTTTACTATTATAAAAAAAACACACACGTGATTAAAAAAAAAAAATACAGTAAAAACATTAAATCCTGCTTACAAGAAATAATTTTAGAGATTAGTCATGTTGACAGATTGGTATCACATAAAGATACGTCAAACGATGACATTTCAGATGCTCCTTAGAGGTAATAGCCCAGTTAACAAGAGGAAACGCCCCATGTGGGTCTTATTTTTACACATTCATGGATTGTTTTAATGGACTTTGAGAAACGTTGTCTATTCTGCACATGATCTATTTCTTGTTATATTTTTAGTAATTGTAGGATTCTTTACATATTTTTTTTTTTTTTACAAGCTCTTCTACATGATGGGTTTTCACTTAGTTTGATAATTTTGTTAACATAATATTTTAAAGAAATTTTAACTCCTCTAATGTCAATATTAAATAAGAGCAAATGATTACTTATCTTTTAAATGCATCACATAAGGTTAAAAAAAAAAAGAATAAAGTACTTTAACTCCAAGAAAATGAGAAGAAAAATAAACCAGCATTAACAAATAATATGAGCTTTTCGTTTGCAATAAGAGTCTGCTCCTGGTGTTCAGCAATGAATAGGTGTGGGTTCAATACGATTCCTTCAAACTACATAGTGATGCTCAAGTCTGGGGATCTACTGAAAGCAGGCTACTAAGTTTGCTAATCCAGTTTGTCTAAATTAAACAATAAAGGGCTTTAAAATTACTGAAAGGTTCAGTCAATAGATTGGTGTTTATATTAAAGTAATGTGTATTTGGTTAGTTTGCTCCCTGCAGTGTCCCTGTCCCCCCTAACCCTGTAATGATTGCGAGTGGAGGAGAATATAGTCAAGATAGATAAACAAAGAGACACCTCTACTATGGAGGAACTCCACCACCGATTTCATGACCTTGATAAAGCGCCAAGGGTGTTTGAAGAAAAACTGAATGATAGGCAAGTGAATCTCCATTTTTTTTTTGTCTTGCCACATTAATTTTAGGAAATCTCTCTGATCGAGCAAGATTGGAATCGTTAGTTATACGTCTTTGAAGTCCAGTTTGACCATCTGTAGGAGTAGATTGCGAAGGCAATGAATGCCTTGCATTTTGAAATGCTGGTATTGAAATA